ACTTAATAATAAATTTGATGTGATAGCAAGATCACGAACAAAATTTGTTTAAAAATATTTAAACAAATTCTACTGTACCCAATAGATACAAGTTTTCAATATTTTACGAATATAAGATATAGATAGTTGAAAAGTTGCAGATTATATGTCGGTGAATACGTCGTTGACTTTTATTATGAAAAAAGCGTTGATCGGATAAAAAATTTCAGAACTGTGAAATTAGTTTCTCTTCCAAGGATCGTTCATGCATCATTTGCCGATCATACGTTACGATCGATAATCTCAGGCGCTTCGCGATAAATGACCGGTTAAGCAAATGCATAAAGCAGATGGTCCGCGAGAGATCGAGAGGCTCCGTCGATCGATTTTATTCTCATTAAATAGTCAGATTTACGTGTTACACGTCGCGATCGGCGCTTTATTGTTCGTGAAAATGGCAAAAGTGTTATCCAGTTAGGTATATGCATGTATACACATCTCTTCCCTCCATCTTACTAGTATCCGTATTTTATTCCAAAATTCTAGCCAAAGAGAATGTCATCTCTAAATGTATCATGAGAAAATAATCGAGATGTGAAATTTCTAGTATAATTTTCAAGTTGAGGTGATATATGACAATTCGTGACTCATGGAATGATTTGTGGCAATAATTAATTGCATTGTTTTAATTAAAAAATCTCAAAGATTTTTTTACGGAACGCAACTATATAAGAAACGATATCTATCTACCGCGTATCAATCTGTTGACTTAATGATAGTTCGAGAACAGATAGCAAGTTATATATTATCGAATTTATTACCCGAGCACTTGTAAAGTTCACGTTTTTTATCATTAATTCTTTTTTTATCATGAATTTTGATAGATTATATAATTTAAATGAAATTTCAGCTGTGTGCGGTTATTACAATATTTAAAACATTTATTTTATCACATAATAAATACAACTGAACGTTACAGAATACTTTTACAGATAGTCCCTGTGCAAAAAATTTTATCAAAGAAATGACATTTTATTTAAAATTAATTATTGTTAAAGTTTTTTTATTCATACACGATATATCGAATTATAATTAACACTTTAATAATTTTTTAAATCTGTGTAAGTAGTAATAGTAATTGAAAGCAATACATTTACATTTCCATTTTTCAAACTTTAAAACTTAAAAAAAAGATAAGAAAATCGCTATGAGAGAGAATTCTCAAAAATTGTTGGACAGTATTTACACGCCCACATTTACACCCTTAAATCTCTTCCACGTGAAAAATATTGGTGATTTTCTCGAAATCGTCTCGTGAAAAGCGTTGTTTTCGGCAAAGCGCAACGCGCCGTACATTTTCGTTTCGCCCACCCCATTGCTTGCTTACGCGAGTAAGTTTCTCAAGTCTACCGTGAATTTTCATTCAGCGTGCGACCGGCGCGGCACGGATTTTTCGTGAGAACCGTCTCGAGAGGTTTATATAACGGGATACACCTGTGGAAAACAGGGGGAGAACCGCCGGACAACCGCGACGCATTTACGGAGATTTAGAGCGAGAGCGCGGTTCGCCTCATCTCCTGGACGTCTAGGATATCGTCCGTTTCCTTCTCCTCGACCGCTTCGGAGGTGGACTCTCTCTCTGTAAAACTCGCGGAGACGAGCAAAAGGAGTATATACGCGCAGTCCCGAAGATTATCTTCCACAGTCCGTGGATCTCCGTCCGATCTTGCGTCGTCTCCGTTGCTTTCTTTATCCCGTTTCTCCTTCCTTATTCGTCCGCTTCGCAGATGGCTACTTTTTTTTCATCCTCCGCGTTATTAACTCCCACACTTATTTCGCCTGCGCCTTATACGAGGAGAATAGGAAAGTACCATGTTTCACCTTCGCTTGAACGTCTTGGGTATATTGGCGTTGAATTGATGTGGGAGAATCGAACGAGACAAATGATCGATCGATGATGGTTATATAAAAGGATATATCTTTCGTATTTTTATAACTCAGTTTCTCACGGATGTTTTATATGCTGCATCGCGCATAAATGGAAAAACAACTTTAATAATAATGAATTAGAAATGAAATATGATACTTAATAAATTGTTTCGCACAGAGAATATATCTGCATGAATATTCTGCAACATTCGGTTTTATATTTATTTTGCGATTAAATAAATGTTTTGAATAATTAAAAAACTATCAAAACCAAACTTCAATTGTTTTCGTCGTTTAAAATAATATTCATTTGCTTCTATTGCACGCTCGTAAATAAATTGCGAAACTTTATTTAGTTCACTTTTCATTTGCAAATTTTGTTTTGCTAGCTTGGGAAAGAGAGAATATTTTTTAATGAAAAAAATATTGAACCGCCGTATTTTACTTTAATTTGCTCCATGAAAAGAGAATGTTAATACATATAATTTGGTGATTGTACCTAAGGGGAGTAAATTGCTCGGTTCAAGAATATATGGATATGCATATTCGGGTGAAACTCTCGAGGTGCTCGCGTCTTTAAGGTGCTCGAGGTGCTGATCCGAAGCCGGGACCAATAATTTAGACGGTTTCGGGGGATCTCGGCAATAATTTAACCCGCTAGGGAGGCCTAAACCGGCAGCTGTGCCACGACAGCAGGCACGGGGCGACGGAGTCGCGATAAACTCTCATAATTCACTTATGGGATATCCACAGCGTATCAGCGTCTCAGTTCCCGCTCGCTTCGCAATCGCGCGCGCTTAAACGCCGAGGAAGTCTCTATTCAATGCGAATGCGTGTTTCGTAACGTTTGTACGTACATATATATATACGATACACACGCGCAGGCACGCGATTATTCATAGGTATGCATTGTGCGAAGTTGTGCTTGGAGACCTGAAAGCAGGGACGGTCTGAGGATCATGTAGGATCTCGAAAAAGGAGGAATAATTAATTATGTAATAAATGTAATGACACCATTTATTTTAACAATAATTAAAAAGGATAAATTTGTGATTTTTCTTAATTGATCTTTTAATTTTGATATTTTAATTGGAAGATGAGATGAGTAATGAGAACAGTAAATTGATTTATTACAATTTATCCTATGAAAGAGAGAAAGGGAACTTTAGGATACACAATCTCAAGTGCGAATATTCTACTGATTGTGAGCTCTTTTTCAGACCAGAAATGAAGGGCAGAAATGAAGAAACGTGAATTTCGATACAACCTGCCGCGGGATAGGCGGATAATTAATTCTATGCAAAACAATGATTGTGCGTAAGCTTCAAAGACGTCGCAAGAAAGTTAAAGAATATACGTCTGCACGCGGTATATAACCCATCTTGGGATTAATGAGATAATTGCGAACGTACGATGGGGAATTCAGTCACTGTCTGCCTTCGCCAAAGTGCGCCTCGCGTCATTAGAATGCATACTCGGTGAATAATAGCGCCTTGCAATCTCAATGGAAGAAAATCTCTTGCGATTTCACTTTTCCAATTTTCACAACGCGATAAAAACAATTAGAAATTTCGTCAATAGAAAACGTAAGCATGCGTAACAAATTTAATATTAATATTTAATATTAATAATTAAATAAAATTAATCATTTTTATTAATTTTATTTAATTAATTAACACGCTTGAAGCTTTTTGTCGAGCATATCGGATATCGGTTGCGCTGTTCTAATTATATATGAAGTCAGTTGCAGCTGCATTATAATGATCCCTTGTAGCCGGAAATCGGTATCGTAGCTTCTCTTCATTCCAAAACTGTTTCTACGTTGTGCAACGTGCAATCTGGTGGCCGGTGATGACCGGTGACGGTGGCAATAGTACGGCGCTTGCACAATAGATTCGGTTTGATACATCGCCGTACGGGACCATTAATTTCGTGGCCCCCCCGTATACACCCGCCTCGTCCGTTTAGATTGCTATTCTCCGTCAAACGTCATTCGCGTTAATAACTTAGTCCGAGTAAATAATAGCAATTAATGCCGAGAATGCAGTGCCTGTCATTTACGCAGATTTCAGTGTTGTCGATCTAAATGTAATTTGCATTTATCTCATTCTCAAAAGCGAAATGTTTTCTTTTCACCAATAAAAAATAAAATGAAACGGTTGTTTAACGCGCGTCTACACGTTCTAATTAAAATTATTTGAAAAATTTTATACTTTATATGTATGTTATAAAATAATTTTCACATTTTAATAGAAAAAAACTGCGTTTTTTATTGCAGACTTGATTAAAAAATAATTATAATTTAACAGCTATATATTTTCATAATTTTTATGATTTTGAAATTTATTGTGATTATTGTTATTAATTATGCGTGACATTATAAATATTGGAACAAAATTTTATTTTAAATCATTTTACATATTTTGAATTAATAAAAATAATATTTAGCATTGTTTCAATATATTGGATCGATAATGGGAAAATGCGTGCATGCGTTACAACAATGCGAAAAATTCAAGCACGTTCTGACGTACTTTAAGTAAATCGCGACGCTCGTTTCAGTTGTACATACACGAATGTTCTCTGAGAAGAGACACACGTGATTTGACTTTGGAGTTATTCTATGCATGCTGAGAATTTCATGCGCGTACAAGTGGCCTGACGTCGTTCACCGAAATGTTCCAGCAAACTACACGACAACTACGATTATGTTGATCGTGGTACCGCCTATTTTCTAAAGTGGCATTACGTAAGATAGTTGGCACCATTGTGGTACATTTAAAAATTAAATTACACAATATATCTTTACATTAAAAGTTATAAGAAAATTCATATAAAATTGAAACTGAATGTGAAAAATATCTTTACTGTGTTTTTTCAATATTTTATTTATCGATTTTATTATAATTTTAAAAATATATATTATATTTTGTTAAGATTTCTTTTCATTCAAACTTGAGAGATTTTACTCAAATATTTGATTTAGAGAAAATCAAATGTTTTAATCACCAGCACAATAACGAATTCACTTTTCGACAAGGTGCTTGATCAGGTTCGATCGATTCTAACTAGTTCACTCGTTTCTGTTTCAGGAACAATGCCAACGTCGTCGTTCCGCCTACCGTGTCGGCCGTGTCGAAGAAGGAGCCGCACGAAAACATCGCCCGGATAGCGAAGCGGTACCTCGACGATAACATGCAGCAGGCGTGGATCAATCCTCGTCTAATATCGATGGTGAGTGAATATAAATGCAATGATTATGCGCACGTGCGTACTTACTTTCCGTATCCCTCATTATGCTCGGTTGCGCGCCAGGGGGTTACGCGCGCGTACTTTCGGAGCCGGCCAGCAAATTAGTTTGCGGCGGACTTCAACATTGGGAAAGTTTCGTGATTAATTTATTGGGCGGGAATGCGCGCACACACTACATACTCGCCGCTGCGCTGCACGGAAGTCGAAACGCGGGCGAGTTTCTAACTCGCCCGGACTATTTCTGCGATTTCTGATTAGGGAGAGGCTCTCTCTCTCTCTCCCTTTCTATAGTCACGATATATAGAGTCAGAAGATCTCTCCGTCTCGGAGTATCAACGACAGTGCCGGGATTTTCACGACGGAGGAAAAATGTCTTTACGATATCGCGCGAAGCTGGCGACAAGCTTTTACGGCATTTTAAAACAAGAGATTCCAGGTCAAACGATCCCTCGACTTTTGCATCGGAAATATAATAGTCGATATTTGACCCTTTTCGGTTACACTAATTTTAATTTTAAATGAATGTACATACGGAGATTTACTCTGATTTATTGGATGACTAGTCATAATCGGAAAACGATTATATTAGAATATCTTACGGGTATCTCCGACTCTTCAGTTAGCTTGGAATAAGACGAGGTCGTTTTGTTGGTTCAACATGTCTTACGGCAGCAATGATGGGCATGTTAGGTTTGGAGTATTTATTTTTCACAAACGAGAATGTCTCGATTAACAATCTGGAGTCTGTTAGGGTTACCGATGCATAAATATTGGTCGGATCTTATGCTCCATTACGATGAACAAGTAGTTGGGTCGTTGTTACTGACGTTTCGAATATTGCAGAAATAAATCCATATATTCTAGAACGCAACCCGGTCAAGTGTCTCATTAGAGTTGCAAGCGAACACTCAAACGTTTCGCGTGGTTTCGATTCTAAAGCTGACTCTCGCAGTCAGTCACGAAGCACGCGACCCAGATATACGCTTTTTCGCGAAACGTATAAACTTCTTAATGACGAATGAATGCCGAAATAACTGTAAATAAGGCGGTCTAATTATTACTTTTTCCTTTTATTATGCTTTTCAATATCTTGAACAGTACCAGTACAGAGCGAATGATGAAAGGATCGTGTATCATTTAAATTTTTCCACTTGACATTTTTCATGCAATTTTTATACATTTCACATTTTCCACAATGCTTATATGCAATATAAATTAAGAGATGTTGAGTAATTTATACAAGAAATTCATACAACTTAGTAAAAAAAAAAAAAAAAAAAAAAACTTATCAAAAGCATTTTTATTGAAACATTTATCTGCCACTGATAAATGTTTATTGTATTGAAAACTAATTAATGTGCATTGTATTGGAAATTAATTAACATCTGTTTAATCGCGTATGAAAATAATGTATTACATATCATCGCGCAAAGTAGTTATTAATTTTTTTAATAATACTGACAATGAAAAGAGAGATCCAGCGTCATTATGATCTTCTCATACTCCGTACATCTCTGCACAAATCCGCGCTGTAAATTCGAAAGAGGGAAAGTTATGCCGGCAGCCCATACACGGTGATCAGTTATGTTGTCGGCGGCTCGACGCGGCGGTCATAGGACCACGGCTTCGGACAGGTAGAACGAGCGGATAGGTCATTAAGCGAGCCAATAACAAACTCGTGATCCGCATAACCCTTCGGTACGTTCGCGGGTGCTATTAGCCCGTGCAAGGCGGCAATCATAGCCGGCAGGTAGGACTCGTTTGTAACGCGCCGAGAGGCAGGTCCCGGTCGTGAACTCATTATTTCCACTCTCCCTCTCTCACTCTTTCGCGTACTTGCCTTTCGCGAATCTGCTCGTCGTGCTTCTTCCCGGCACCTTCCCCAGTCTCTTTTTGCCAGCACGTAGTAGCAAACCTTATGTAATGTCTCAGTTGCGTGTCTCCCCACGTTGCAGCTTGTTGCGCTGATGACTCGGCTCTCTGTGCACACCTGTACGCAATAGCACGCGATGAGCCTTTGGAAAAACACGAGGCGCAGCAATGCGCATTATCATGGTATAACGAATCTGGAATCTTGCAAGTCAGCTCTCAAATGCAAACATTGAACTCTGATTTTAAAGCTCTATATGGAACATGGTCTGAAGAAAAGAATATTAACATTGCAAATTTCAGATAAACGTAGATCTTTAGCTAAATCAAATTTAAAAAATTGTTTCTGTACATTCTTGAATTAATACTATATTTAATTAACACTATATATTTCTACTTTTAAATTAATATTATATTTTTAAAATAAATACTAAATGTATTCTACACTTCGGTTATATCGAATGTACGAAGGCGTCTTTTAAGACGCTTAATGATTTCTGACTGATACGAAAATGTGCATAAAACAGACGTATCATGTACTATGAAGCTGAAACATGATCGAGTGTTTCACGCGACGTTCCAATCAGCGATAATAGAAAGATCTGAAATTAAGCACCGCGGCGGAAGACTGTTTCTTCCTCGCATACTTGTTTCCCGGCCTCCGATATCGATATTGGCGCGTGTATTCATCGGCATTGCCAAGATTTACGATCGTTCCGTATTACTTATGCCGGCGGCTTTATTAGCATGATTGGTCGCTCCGAGGATAGATCGTTGCGCGTGCAACCGGATCTCGTTCTCCGGTTCGGAGAGAAGCTCGATATCTCGATCTTGTTGTCGGTGCGATGGCTCGCTCCGAGCTTGAAAAGAAGTCATTCGTTCGACGCGACGTAGTTACCGGCGCTCAGGAGCCAACGACACTATTTGTAATTTGTTTTACGAGGGTCGCCTCGTTACGGTCGGCTCTAAATCCTTACGATCTCGCTGCCCACGGCGACGAGGGACCCGCCTTCTCGCTAAGTATCGAGCCTTCGAGCGTAATCCAAACCTCGGCCTTAATGAATTTTCTGATTTAATAAGAGAGCGCGTGTGTGAATGTGCGCAGCCGACAGCCTTGGAATGTTCCCGGCGATCGGAGAGAAGTTGCCCAAAATTTGCATACGCAAAACGTGCGTTTATATGTATATATATATATGCAGCTCGCAATCACTTCGGCTACGCTAAGTACACGTCTCAAAAGCTTTAGCCGCGCGATGCAATTTATATTTATTAATTTAAAACGAAAATTTTTTTTTTTGCCAAATTAATTTTTACATATCACAAGTATATACATTCGCAAGTATATCGAATTTTATTTCGACGGGTTAGATTTCTTTGCGATTGATAATGAAAATTTATATTTATGAATTTAAGACGAAATTGCGCCAAATCAATTTTTACATATACAGATTTTGCAAGTATACGAATTTTATTATCACAAGAGCGTGAATGTCTGAGCATTGTCTTCCAAACAATTTTATTTTGACGGGTTAGATCTCTTTGGCGATTGATAATGAAAATTAATTAACGAACCGCTTGATCACGCGCCTCATTTCTCGACTCGTCAGTCGTTTAATAATCTTGAAAATTTGGACGATCAGGGAGTTCTGCGTATTCGCGCGTACAGATGTGTCTATACATGCAGGGTGGCATCTCACCCGATGATTCTCCCGAGTGCCCTGCACTCGCCGTCTCTAATAACAATAATAATAAGAAGGGACGGAGGACCGTTTTAATCAGAGGGTTTGCCCGTCTGACGTGATTAACTTGAAGGGCCGAAGAAGAGGACGAGGAAAAGGGCGGATACCGCTGTCATTTCAGGTGTTTATCATATCAGCGAACTGAGGGGTTGCGTTCCGTCATCTCGACTGGAGAATAGGGTGAAATCTTGGATTTCTCGTATACCTTCGTTCGTTGTTTCTTCCTGTACATTTTCCTGACGGCGGCGTCTTTCCTTGTTTTTCATCCCCGTTTCATTATTAACCGTTCGAGCGTGGAAATGTCCTTTTATTTTATCGTAGTCATATTCTGTATGAGAATGCTGCGAGCGTTATGCAATAATAATTCAGTCTTCAGCTTTGTCAAGATGAATAAGAATAATGGAAGAGGAAAGATAGTGAGAGTGGATAATGCTTCTGGTAAAGAAACAAAGAAAACAATCTAAAAGTCTAAGAATATGCATTTTGCATTGAATTGCAGTTGAGATTATTTTTCACTTTATTTTTAAAATTTTCGCTATTATTTCGTTATTGGAAAAATCGCTTATTATAAAAATAAAGCAGTTCGGTAATGCAAAATGTTACGCGTATTTTCCGAGGCTAAGTACTTTCGTTCTGCGGTAAATATCGGTTTTCAGGGAGGATATAGTCTTTCCACAGGAAGTAGGAAGGATAGAAAATACGTGACTATGCCCAACTGACAACGTCACTCTTCCTTTTGGCGCTGATGTTCTGCGGAATTTCGCAGAAGAAGCTCTCTTATTTCTCTCTCCAGTTTCCTTTCTCTCGCTTTACGCTTTACTCTGAAACTCTAATTAACAAGACATCCCTTGAGTCTTTAAAAAAGTGCGGTCTGACAAGCAACGGAACGGTATCAAATATTATAAAATTCCTCGATCGCCGAGTCGACTCGGATTTGCAATAAATTTTCCAACGAAAAGCATGGCGCGATCTTTTCATCTATGTTACTAGAGAAATGTAAATGTGAATTTATGTTCTCACTCGGTTTATGTCGGTTAAACCCAACGAAGCGGAAAAACCTGGTTGCTTCCGAATCGGAATCTTTCGTCGCCTCCGGGGGATTATTTCGCGACGAGACCACTCGAGTGATATCGAGAGTGCCAGTACTTCCGTCGTCGCGGGATTACTCGTCAAAGGATTTTTCACTCCGATCCGTGTGGCTCCGATCGCGATATCGATGGCATTTTTGTAAAAGTCATGAGACGGCTACGCCTGTGTTTTATTCCCGGATCAACGGTGTCGCAAAACGGGATGCGAATGTATCGGGCGTTTTATTCGCGCCCCAGGAGAATTTATAGACGCCGTTATATATCGCGGTAGCTTTTGGTCGTCCGC